ACATATACCAGCCTAGAGTGTGTGAGACTCAGCTAGAACCATCTAACTATATCACATCCTCACATGACACACATACATATACCAGTCTAGAGTGTGTGAGTTTTGACTAGATCCATCTATCTGTGTCACATCCAAGCTAATCAGGTGAAGGAATCAGGCCGAGAAGTCTGTCACGACAATATTCCCAATATACCAGTCTAGAGTGTGTGAGACTCGGCTAGAACCATCTATCTGTGTCACATCCAAGCTAATCAGGTGAAGGAATCAGGCCGAGAAGTCTGTCACGACAATATTCCCACCCTCACTGTTCCGTTTCATATTTTTTCATAGCAGCTATTTCTTTCATATAAACTTCTTTTTCCTTTTGTAACTTTATCTGAAATGTAAAGGGAAAGCAACGTAATCTGAATTGCAATGATCAATGTCCCAAATAAAAACAGTTATTTTTTACTTATTAAACTTTTATGATATATGAACATCATATACAATTACTGCACACATGTGATATTCTATTTCTCTGTTCTATTGAGTCACCAACATATATTAAACTTACAAAGTCTGCGTTATCTTCCGGTTTTTTCTTAAACTTCTTTTTCTCTGTTTTCTCTAGTCTCTGCAGTTTTTTTTCTAGTTGTGCGATTTCCTTCTTGGGGTCTATGATGCCCTTAAAAAAAGATGAAAAGAACTGTGAACACCATTTGGAATCGTCTTTCGTTAACACTCTTAAATGGAACATGAAGGAAACACAAGAAAAGGCTCCAATACAAAAGCTCTGGCATTCACAGTTCTGAATAGAAAGATGACTTATCACAATCTGTTGCATCTGATGATCCCTGTTGAGCCTCTTTAAGCCACAGTACACATGAGGGGTTTCCAACTTGGGTCAAATCCGAAACATGCCAGGGGCCTATCCCCAATTTAGAAACCCTGATGATGGAATCTATGTACCGTACACCCCTGGGCATCATATAGTATTTTTTTCTTATTTAAATCAGCAAAATAAGCTCAAAAAGCATAAAAATAGGTTTTGACTGGCTACTGTTTTGAAAGTATGAACTGAATTCCCCGCTTTTTGGACAACAACAAATTGGTCGGTGAGATTTACTATACCTCATTTTACCGAACTTATTTTTTCTGAAAAAATAATCCTATCTTTCTGACTAACATGATTAATAATACATTATTTAAATTTTGAATTTTATCATGTCAGCAGTTTCCACACTGGGGCATTGTAAGTTTCCCAACTTTATGATGTCACATTGTTACCCTATTGTGACTTCACTCATGAAAGATAGGGTGTAAGATAGAACTTCCTTTCTTCTATTAGACCCATATTTCCCCACATTGGTGGTACCTAAGGGTTCAGATTGTCTGTCTAAAGTGGGCAATGTTTATTTCCTAATTATATCTTCTGTGATCTGCTATGGTTGATGTGACATCATGTAATTATATTGACAGGGGAATCCCCCGTCTTTACACTAGCTGAGTAAGACAGAAATATCTTTCCCTGACTAGAGGGGGGGGGGGAACGAACGATACATCCTGTACGTACCTTCAGCATTAAGAAGATCTGTACTTGTGGGTGTGGTGACATGACATGGCTCCCCTGGGGTGGAGCCTGGCCTGGGGGGAGGAAGTCAACAGATCCAGCCCTGGACAGTGTCTGTAAGGTCGTCAACACAGACTTCTCTGTCAGTATCTGTACAAGGTCACCACTCTGCACCTGTAGTATCACTGAACACAACACATAGAATATCATACCTCAGTTTGTAACACTGGGACAACACACAGATTGTATCATATAATTAAAACTGTAACACATAAAGACTGTTTAACATCGTCGTCTAGTCTGTAAGCTACATTTCTATTTGAAAACTCCGATCGTGTGAGATTTTAGGATTCCCTCGCGTTTACCTGGAAGGGTCCTGGCCTTGATGCTGTACCTGGTCCCCACAGATAGTATGATGTTCTTCAGCAGTTTGACAACAGTAACAGCCTCCTCCAATCTGTCCTGTTTGTAGGGTACCTACAACATACACATCTCTGTTTACAAAAGTTGTATAGGATACATACAGGTCTATGTGTATTGTAGTGATATCCTCTTTACTACAGTCTACAATATCAACAAGAAGCTCGAGAGGTTGGTACGGATTACCTGCGGAATCCCCTTCTACCAGCAATGTCCCATACTAGTTTATAATCCTGTCAGCAATGTCCCGTACTAGTTTATAATCCTGTCAGCAATGTCCCATACTAGTTTATAATAGTGTCAGCAATGTCCCATACTAGTTTATAATCCTGTCACGATGAATTATTTGACCATTTGTTTTAAAAATTTACTTCTCTTTCTCATATATTGAATTCTTTCACTCACCCAACTTGACTCCCTTTGGTCCAGAGATATTGGATACAAAATGAAATCAAAAACACCTTCAGGATTTTTGGACTAGTCTTGATGAGATAACATTGACAGTTTGATGACAGACCAATATGACACACCTAGAAGAGTTTACACTAGGTAAAGTACGAT